GAGCTGACTGCTGGAAATTTCCCGCTCCGAAAGGCAGTACCTTCCATTTAGAGCTCGTAGATTCCATGTGCTCGTGGGTAAAATAAATAACACTGACTACGTTATCCATCTCATTAATCTATCTATCTATCTATCTATCTATCTAATTCTCTTCACTATCTATCTATCTATCTTATTCTCTTCACTACCTATCTATCTATCTATCTATCTATCTATCTATCTATCTATCTATCTATCTATCTATCTATCTAATTCTCTTCATGATCTATCTATCTATCTATCTTATTCTCTTCACTATCTATCTATCTATCTATCTATCTAATTCTCTTCCCTATTTATCTATCTATCTATCTATCTCTGTTCATATGTTCATACATGCATATCTATCTAAGTGTTGTGGCCTTGTTAAGGCCAGTAATAAAGACGCAAGAGAGGAATTGAGTTAAACAAATATATTAACATTAATATAAACTTATACAAACGAGAGTGTTACAGCAAGAATGTTCGGTCTGACTGTCAGAGTTGACTGCTGGAAACTTCCCTCTACAGAAGGCAGTACCTGCTCCTATTTATAGCTAGTGGTCTCCATGCGTGCGTGGGTAAATTACCATAACACTAAGTATAAACATATCAACGTATAATTTTTTAAATAAGCGATGCGAAGAGATGGCCACTGATACTTTAAACATTCCATACCATAACCCAAACGAATCTACTTAATAGAAAACAGCGATCCTGCTCCCGAAACCTAGAGGCCTACGTACTAATAAAAAGGAGAATTATGCTGATGACATACATATACATAGTTGGAATAGAAAGCATCTTGAACAGAAACCCGATATCATCTCTCATGTGCAATAATTGCTATCTACTGTTAATTATTCTTTCCTTTTCCCGCTTTTTTTATTAATGTTTCTGTTCCTAATTCTGCCACACTCTGTAATCTCTTGTGTCTTGGTAGCTTTACTGCTTTGCATGGGGTGATACGAATTTTAAAAAAAAAAGAAGGGGTTCCGAGATATATGGCTATAAAATAAACATTGACGAAAGAAGAAAATATAATTTAAAATAAGAAACAAAACTATGATGGCACAGACACCATAAAACACCATAAAAATTCAGAATGCGGATTTACTAAATACCAGACGAGACATTCAGGCAACTATTTGATTTAATCCAATCATTCCTTTCAAATCGTGAAATGAAGGTCGTTCTGAACGGGCTCGCTTTCAGATCCTTTCACACGAAAGCGGGTGTCCCACAAGGATCTATCCTGGGCACTACACTGTTTCTGATCTTCCTGTTGTGGCCTTGTTAGGGTCACAAATAACGACACAAAAGAGTAATTGAGTTAAACACATGTATAAACAGAAACACAGATACAGACATATACTAACGAGAGTGTTACAGGAAGAATGTTCGGTCCGACTGTCAGGGCGGACTGCTGGAAACCTCCCCCTCCAAAAGGCAGTACCTGCTCCTATTTATAACTGAAAGTAAGTTACCATAACACTAAGTATGTTATCCACCTCAGAATTTTATCTATCTATCTATCTATCTATCTATCTATCTATCTATCTATTACATTCTTTTCGATATCTATCTATCTATCTATCTGTGCGTGCGTGCGTGGGTAAATTACCATAACAGATATATATCAACACAACAGATGAAAGGTCTTGCTAAGAAGCCTATGAAACCCTCTCCCGTGTCTTGAGCAACCGCAGACCTCAGGTGGAGCTCGTACATACGAACCATCACCAAAGATGTCGGAAAATTCGTCGGCCACCTGTACCGCTCCAGTGAGTACCTGACTCCTCTTGCTATTATCCTTTACCTTTACAAGAACCAGACCAAACCTAAAATTATACCCCTGTCATCTTTGGACAGGAGCTGTCTGGTATCGATAACGTTGAAAAGCGTCTTCACATCCTCGTGGGTGATAAAAAAAAATAATTATAAACCCTGCAACTCTTCTCTCACAGACGAGATACTGTAGGTCCCCTCACTTTTCTATTGCGACTTCCATGGAAAGTGCTCAGACGAGCTACATTCTTTAGTTCCACCTGTTATGACATTCAGGTCTAGAACACGCTATGCTGCGCACATTGTAACGTATCATCCCATTCCCTCCATATTATAGTGGTGTGAAGTAGTTTTCCCGCCCACTACGATTTCAGTCTATTCAATTTAGGGTTAACCGTTATCTCCCTCACCTTGCTTTTTTATCACTCTACCTCGAGTGGCTTTCGAGCCTTGTATAGGGTGAACCTCACTGTAAAAAATAATAAAGCAAGCGCAATAAAGTAAATAATGATAACTTTAAATACTACATAGTAAGCGTCTCCGAGTCCTTGTCAGTGACGAATTACTCTCCACACTTCAACTTCTCTCCACTAGGCGGCATGAGGCAAGTCTCTCGCTCGTTTACCGCTACTACGATCCCTGGTCCCTACAAGGCAGACCTTCACGGCAAGAACACGCCATTCCATTTACATAGAACCAAACCACCCACATTCCGTGCGTATTCCATCGGTGAGGAGTAAGTTCCACGCGAGCGGCTTCCAGCAAACCACTGCTCTAGGAGACAGGCACCTTAGAGGAAGTTTCCCCCGATCACTATAATCTTAACCTGTTCAAGGCTGGGGTTAACCGTTATCCAGAAATGGCCTCCAAATGTTACCCTCTAACTGTAAAATGTGAACCTCGCTGTAAAAAAAAAAAAATCTATCAGATCCGTTCCAATGACTAAATTAATTAAGAAACAGAAAAAAAATGTCGTTAAAAGCAACGTGAAGATTTCCGGTCTGCTATATAATTGTTGTAATGAATGATTCGGCAATTAGTTGGAAATTCGTCTCCAGCTGTGCTTGTCGAACTCTATGCCTTCGGACGGAGAGGAACCCAGATGAGATAAAGGCAGAGTCTCGTCTGGGGTGGTAGACATCTAAGGGACCCCTACGTTAAATCACCTACACGTTAAATTCGGCCTTGTCCCACATCTGACCACCGGGGACGGTTGGTAGATATTCTTCCTTCGGGAATTAGTTGAAGACTCCTTTCTAGCTGTGCTGGTCGAACTCTCTGTCTCCGAGCAGAGAGGATCCCCAGACGAGGCTATGTCGAAAGGTAGAGTCTCTTCTCGTGAAACAGCTACCCGACCCAGTTTTATACGGGGATTTTTTTGGCCGAGGCTACGCGTTTGGTACCACACATTAAATTCGGCCTTGTGCCACATCTAACCGCGTGGGGCAGTTGGTATATATCCTTGCTTCTGGAATTACTAGCCTGCCACCCGATTCCCTGTCTTTCAGTAGTGTTGCTACTGTTTTCTACGCGCGTGTTGCTGTTCCTTCGCTCGAGTAGCACCTTAGTTTGCAACCTCCTTAAGAATACAACAATACAAATCCTCCTTCACGGGAAATAATACTTTGAAAATTACCTCCCTGTTGAAGAGGAGAATTAAGGCAATAGAAAGTTCTGTAGAAGTCTGAGAATACTGCAAACAAAGAGTGCTAACAATGAGGACACTTTTAGGAAAATGGAAACAAAATATACATCTTTAAGAGAATCAGAAAGGGTCAGTTGAAATTTCTGGGATGCGTATAATAAGGAAAGTGGGCTTGGAGAATAGAACACTCACAGAGCATACTGAAAGCAAAGGAGGTAGAGGAAAACAGTGAGTAAGATCCCTAACGAACTTATTTGAATGTATCCTGGATGAGGGGGTGAGAAGGATAGAAAGTTGTGGAGAGACATGACCAGCCACGTCCTGAAAGAACGTGGAATGCAAGGGAAGAAGTAATAGTTAAATTGATTGGCTTATTAGCCAACACGCAATGGAGAGACACACCTCTTTATTTATCTATCTATCTCGCTAGCTAGCTATCTTGTTCTGTTAAATATACTTATATATATATATATATATATATATATATATATATATATATATATATAAATATATATATATATATGTTGTCGAACATTTTTCACGTAGATAGCACTCACTGCAAATAAAAGGGCTCAAAGAAGATGAAGCCATTATTATATTATGTCTATCATATTGACAACATCTATCTCAATATATTCATTATCTATCTATCTATCTATCTATCTATCTATTCCAGTCTGTTCATATCTATCTATCTATCTATCTATCTATCTATTCCAGTCTGTTCATATCTATATATCTATCTATTCCAGTCTGTTCATATCAATCTATCTATTTATTCCAGTCTGTTCATATCAATCTATTCCAGTCTGTTCATTATCTATCTATCTATCTATCTATCTATCTATCTATCTAGTGCTGTTATATATATATATATATATATATCTGTTTTGTCTAACATTTTTCTCATAGATAGCACTCACTGCAAATAAAAGCTCATCTATCTATCTATCTATCTATCTATCTATCTATCTATCTATCTATTCCAGTCTGTTCATCTCTCTCTCTCCTCCGCTCTCTCTCTCTCTCTCTCTATCTATCTATCTATCTATTCCAGTCTGTTCATATCTATCTATCTATCTATCTATCTATCTATGTAGTACTGTTATATATATATATATATATATATATATATATATATATCTGTTTTGTCTAACATTTTTCTCATAGATAGCACTCACTGCAAATAAAAGCTCAAAATACATGTAGCCATTATTATATTAGATCTATCTATCTATCTATCTATCTATCTATCTATTCCAATGTGTTCATATCTCTCTATCTAGCGAGCTCATTTACAGAAGCTATATCTGATCGAGAAGAGAGCCAAATTAAATTGGTCTGGGTCGTACTTTTCTCCCCTCCCCTGCCCTTGGCCTTTTCATCCCTACCTACCTCCACCCCCTATATCACTCGAGAGATTACGGCTTCCCCAGAGAAATTACACGGCCTTAATTCTTCTCATCACTCTTTTGGTGGCGATCTCAAACGGCAGCAAATTGCCCAATCGATTCGATCTTTTTTTTCACTTCTCCAGACCTCCAATTGAAACAATTCTTCTCGACACCCACGCCCTTCCAAGCTCGCACCCGACCCCCCCTACAGCTCTGAGGATAGAATTGGACTTTGTTGGTGTTAATTTACTTCCGCCGTGTCCGCATACAAAAGAGAATATGTAAGACTAATATAAAGTGTTTATAGAGACAAGAACACGCTTAGAAACGAACGAGAAAGGAGATCGGGACTCAGCGGGAAACAATCCTTGCGCCTAAGTGATTTGCTATTTGTTATGGTGGAACACACCTATTCTATAGTTAATAGACTCTCCCACCTATAATAAGTAGGAATAGTAAGAGTAACGAGTCAGTCAGTAGTTCGTCAGTCGATGTCGGACGACCGGCTGAACGGTTGAACTCTCTGCCTTCGGGCAGGGAGGAACCCGAAAGAAGGTCTGGAGAATCTGATACTCACGGGATTCTTCAGACGCTTCTTCCTCATCATGTGTCCCGGGAACTTCAGCTGCCTGTTTCTGATGTTAATTTTCGAATTTTATCAAGAATCTCTGGATATATACTAGACGCACAAGGCCAAGATATGGCAGCAAATTTCAGTGCACCTGGTTTTGTTTAGCGGCATACTTAACACCAGGAAGAGGCAGCTGTTGTTCCTGCAACCCATAATGAAGAAGGAGGGAGTTATAGTGGAACACACCTATTCTATAGTTAATAGACTCTCCCACCTATAATAAGTAGGTGTCGCTCAGGGGAGTTGGTCAGTCAGTCGATGTCGCTCGACCGGCTGATCGGCTGAACTCTCTGCCTTCGGGCGGGGAGGAACCCGAACGAGGCTACGCCGAGGGACGGATCCTCTTACAGGGGGGTAAACCGGCTGTGAACCCGTTTATACGGGTTCCATGGGCATATTTTTGGGCCGAGCCCACGGGCTCGGCAATCCCACATTAAATAACCGGCCTTGTGCCACATGATGCTCCAGTGGTGGTGGTGGTGGTGGGGTGACTGAATATCGTGAGTCAGTCAGTCGTTCACTTTCTGACCGGCTGAGCGGTTGAACTCTCTGCCTTCGGGCGTGGAGGAACCCGAACGAGGCTACGCCAAAGGGCGGATTCTCTTTCGGGGGGGACCGGCCCTGATACGGGTCCAATGGGCGTATTTTAAAACCGGCCGTGTGCCACATGATGCCCACGTGGGGGGGTGACTAAATATAGTCAGTCAGTGAGTCGATGTCGGACGATAGTTAGTCGAATACGAAAGTATCAGCGACCACAACTTAGGTTACTCTGCGTTATACCTATTATATCAAGTTCCTAACGTTTTGTACGTCGAACCTATTTTAGGGCCGATTTAGTACAAATACAAGCCTCCACTGCGAAAGCATTCCACAACACTATATGAAGAGGGTTAGTTCCAGTCCTGGAAATTTATGTTCATTTAAATGATTACAAGTTTTTACGGAACAAGGCCAAAGGTAAACAGAGGAAGGTCTGCCCGTCATTGTTTTTTCGAGTTAATCCTGTAACAATGCAACTGGAAAAAAATTCTGGTCGTCACTGTTTAACCAACCCCTAGCTTGTTTGCTTTGGGAGTGTATTTTATATTTCTAGTTTTCGGTGGTAGCGAGTGGAACAGAAAAAAAAATTATCAAATTTGAATCTTTTGTTGAAATCAATTTATTCCAGGAAATTTGATCTGCTGCTCAAAGGACTGCAGATTTTGACAGTTGACAATTGTTCGCTTAAAAGCTAATCAGACGAAATATGCAAAGTTGACATTTTGAATGCTAATGGCCATGCAGGTTGGCGATATTTAAAGCCTGGATAAGTTAAAAACCAACCAGATGAAATAAACCTTTTTGAACCCTCTTGTGATGGTGAGAAAACCCGTAAGCATTTTGGCGCACGGCAGTGAGAGACAGCAGGGAGAACGGCAGAGGAGAAACACATCGAAAATTGGCTGATCAACACACACGTCACACTCGCCTGAACTTGACTCGATGTTCGATTCTCTGATAAAAGTTTGAGATCCAAGTCGCTATCCAACTCCAGAGCTGTTAAGCTATATCGAACATTTGTAAATATTCTATCTTTATTCCAGTTATGTGCCACGCGTGATACACGCTTAGGCGATCATGTATCCTTCGATACATGGCTGACGAGGCAGATTTTTTTCCTGCAGTAGGTTGCCATTTCTTTGTACGGTAGACCAGTTGCCATCCAAGGCTATAGAACCCAGTCTGTCCTGCTATTTACCCATAGTTGTGGGTAGAAGAAAAGGATTCATACCTTTCCTAAGGGTATTATCACGTAAGTGAATGTAATGGATTCGAATGGAATTCAAACTCGGTTCTCCGATTCCACAATCCGTGCCTCCTAGTCAGTTATGTGCCATGCGTGATACACGCTTAAGCAATCATGTATCTTTCGATACATGACTGACGAGGCAGATTTTTTCCCCTAGTAGGTTGCCTTTTCTTTCTTCAGGAGATCAGTTGCTATCCAAGGCTATAGAACCCAGTCTGTCCATAGTTGGGGGTAGAAGAAGAGGATTCATACCTTTCCCTCGGGTATTATCACGTAAGTGAATGTAAGGGATTCGACTGGAATTCGAACTCGGTTCCACGATTCCTCAATCCGAGCCGCTATCTATGCCAACTCTTTATTTACTGTTATTAAAATTATCATTTTCAACCAATATCAGGCCTCTCCTTCTTGCGACAAGAGCACAACTTTCAGTCCAGTCGTCAAGAAAATATTACGGCTTAGAAGGGAAGGGAAACACCCACTTTCTTGTGAGTAAGAAACACAATACTTACCAGCAACTCTACACGACTGGTACCATCTCCTTGGTCAGTTTAAAACTCTATGCAACCAACCTGACCTGACAGCCATCCTAAGATGAAGATATCGACGAGAGATACGGTCCAAATTGTAGGGATGAACGTCATTTGGGGAATAGAGGGTGTTACATTAATATCCGACTCACGACTCGTCCAATCTAACAATTAGCGCAAACACAACAAGAACTTATCCTTCTTCATTCAATCCCAGCCTGTGCCATAATACCACATTTTTTTACGCTGACAACCAAATAAATCACCCATAATGATAAAAAATTCTGAATACGTACAAATATTTTTCATATGACGTGAAAGGAGAGAGGATGAACCCAAAAATCAAAATAAAAGAAAACAAGCTTTATCTCGTGAACCATTGCACTGTGGGAACGACTCTCAAGAAGATATGTCCCCGGTCACTCTTAACATAACCCTCTACCTCGAGTGGCCCCGGGCCTTGTACGAGGATGTTTTCCCTATCACTACAATCTTAACATGTTCAAATCTTGAGTTAACCGTAATCTTTCTCTTTTATCCGCATAAACTGCCTCTTAACATAACCCTCTACCTCGAGTGGCCCCGGGCCTTGTACGAGGATATTTTCCCGGTCACTACAATCTTAATATGTTCAAATCTTGAGTTAACCGTAATATTTCTCTTTTATCCGCATAAACTGCCTCTTAACATAACTCTCTACCTCGAGTGGCCCCGGGCCTTGTACGAGGATATTTTCCTGGTCACTACAATCTTAACATGTTCAAATCTTGAGTTAACCGTAATCTTTCTCTTTTATCCGCATAAACTGCCTCTTAACATAACCCTCTACCTCGAGTGGCCCCGGGCCTTGTACGAGGATATTTTCCTGGTCACTACAATCTTAACATGTTCAAATCTTGAGTTAACCGTAATCTTTCTCTTTTATCCGCATAAACTGCCTTTTAACGTAACCCTCTACTTCGAGTGGCCCCGGGCCTTGTACGAGGATATTTTCCTGGTCACTACAATATTAACATGTTCAAATCTTGAGTTAACCGTAATATTTCTCTTTTATCCGCATAAACTGCCTCTTAACATAACCCTCTACCTCGAGTGGCCCCGGGCCTTGTACGAGGATATTTTCCTGGTCACTACAATCTTAACATGTTCAAATCTTGAGTTAACCGTAATCTTTCTCTTTTATCCGCATAAACTGCCTCTTAACATAACCCTCTAACTCGAGTGGCCCCGGGCCTTGTACGAGGTGTAAAAGAAAAACGTAAAAAACAGTCAAACGAAAAGAAATCTGTCTTAGTATGGACCCGTCCAAACCACAAAAATAAACGTGGCTGCTGTATTCTTCTGAGACACAGTATCGAGAAGTTCAGTCGGGGGTGGGACAAATATATATATTGCTACATACTACTTGCACCACTGAAGATGATCATGGGAGAAGATCGAAAGTACTTGGGAAATGAAAATAAAAGAAATTTAAACATCTACAGCACATTTCTCTCATCTTTTAACATCAATTCACGGAATGTTATTTGTGAGTATGAACGGATTTTATTAAAAATTAGCAGGCATATTGTTTGTAATTTATCCAGTCAGACATGTCTAAAAGAGAATTTGCTGCCTAAATACACAAATTTCATATATATATATATATATATATATATATATATATACAATTTTTTTTTTAAAAAATATAAGTCTACCATTCGTCCATGCTTCGAATATTGCTGCCACGTATGATCTGGCGGTCCTTCTGTATATCTAGAGATTCTTGATAAAATCCAAAGAAGAATCTGTAATGTTATTGATCCTAGCCTGGCATCCCGGGTAAAAAAAAAAAAAAAAGAAATCAAATATCTCAAAACATATATTTATTTTGCTTAAACTTGAAATTAAACCAGTTTATTTTTCGGGCTTGGCATCTGGATTGATTTTTGCATAAAGTATATAACATTTTCATTATTTGCATAAAGTATATAATATTTTTATTATTTGCATGAAGTATATAATATTTTCATTATTTGCATAAAGTATATATTTTCATTATTTGTATAAAGTATATAAAATTTTCATTATTTGCATAAAGTATATGATATTTTTATTATTTGCATAAAGTATATAACATTTTCATTATTTGCATAAATTATATAACCTTTTCATTATTTGCATAAATTATATAATATTTTCATTATTTGCATAAAGTATATG